CCATTAAGGGGCCCACATGCAGCTGCCACCATGCATCACAACAGTAACACGGGAATGAAGGCCACCCACCTACACTCACACCACTCACAATCAACCTTCTGAGAGGGGCCACCTTAAGACAGGGCTAGATGAGGGCTTAACCCGCTTCCCCGCAATACCTTCCTATTCTCAGCCTACACTTGGCGTGAAAATTGCAGAACGGCGTGCCTGTACAGACGAGGGTCCATGCCTCCTCTCGCCACTGTTGGGTGGGACAGGCTGATGCATGCGCTCCACTCAAGTCTGGCGATGGGTAAGACCAGACGTTACTACTATATTAGTATATTAATTTACTTGTTTTGTTCTTTTTTTCCATGTTTTTTCTTACCTATCAACCCCCCCACCCTCTCTATGGATCCCGGAATTATCCAGATTAAGCTGGTAATACAGAGGGAGCAGTGGGAAGGTTTCAGTGGTGCAACGCACGGCCTGGCAGGAGGACAAAGTTGGAGGCAGACAACTGTAAGTCACCACATAGCACACACACCCCAGACCTTACCATGCCAATACGCATCACCTCCTTAAACGTTAAGGGACTAAACCCAGACATAGCCTTTCTGCAGGAAACCCACCTACCAAGTACTGTGTGGGTGAAACTTAAAGACCATATCTATAGTGCTGGCTACAAAGCCAGATCACTCCGCAAACACAATGGGGCAGCGATACTAATCCAGAAATGCTGTCCTCTGCGCATAACGGGGGTTGAACCAGACTCGGAGGGGCGATCTTTGGTGATCTCGGGGACACTGTTTGCACACACCATAAACCTCATAAACATCTATACACCCAACCAGAGAATTCTGGGAGCAAATTAATGGCATGACCATACTGGGGGGTGACTTCAATGTGGTACCCAGCCCAGCAGCGGACAGGGGGCTAAGGGGGACCTAACTCGCTCCCACAGCAAAGGCAGACAGGACAAACTGGCGCATAACTTCATACGCTCGACGGGGCTGATAGACGTTTGGAGGGTGCAGCACCCGGGGCGAAATGGACTATACATTCTACTCTGCGTCACATGATTCGTAGATTACTTCCTCGTAAACTACCAATCCATCCCCAAAATCACTAAATCCTCAGTGGGATCCATTACATAGTCAGACAACATGGACGTTAGCATAGAGATAGACAACCTGTGCACCGCGGCTCTGTGGTCCTGGAAATTAAATACTTCCCTATTACTAGACCCACTCATAAAAGAAACCATCTGCAAAGAAATAGAAGAGTTTTTTCAACTTACTACCACCCCAGACCTAACACACGTGACTATATGGGCCGCGTACAAGACAGTAATCAGAGGGGCACTCATTATGGAATCCACCCGTAAAAAGAAAACCAAAACACAAAAACTAAAGGCCCTACTGACCGACTTACGCAAGACTGAACAACAACACAGGACGAACCCAACGCCAGATGGACTCCTAAAACTGAGACCACAAGATGCCTCATAAGAGAGACTCTCATAGATAAAGCAGCTAGGGCCATGATGTGGTCTAAAAGGGCATTCTACAAACAGGCCAACAAAATGGATACATTACTAGCCCGAACCTTACGCCCAAGGCCCCGACATACACACATCACTATGATCAAAGACCACGGGGCCACACCAAGTCAACACCAGCGGAAATAGCAACAGTTTTCACAGACTACTACAAATCCCTATGTCACCACACCCCTCAGGACAATGACAACACACCAGACTCAATAGAGGCCATACAATGCAATAGCGACCCTGGGAGGGGAGATCACAGCTGACAAAATCGACAGCGCCATCTCCAACCTAAAAGGCCACAAGGCCCCTGGACCAGATGGATTTGAGGGGGGCTACTACAAAACTTACAGAAGGCCACTGGTACAGCACATAACTTCTTAATGGGGGGAGGGTGCCCTGATCCCGAAATGTGCACAGCTTACATAGTCTAACTCATAAAATCAGGGAACGACACTACATACCCTAAACACTACAGACCCATATCACTGATCAACCACGATGTCAAGGTATTAGCAAAGATTTTAGCAGAGAGGCTGTCCCCACTATTGACAAGCCTGATCCATGCAGATCAGGTGGACTTCATCCCCGGCCACCAACACTTTGAAAACTCCAGACATAACATAGACCTAATTTGGCCACCACACGTACACCAACACTAATCCTATCCCTAGACGGCGAAAAGGCTTTCGACAGGGTGAGATGGACCTACCCGTTTGAACTCCTGAAGCACTTAAAATTCCCTTAGACGTACATCACAACTATTCAAACCATGTACACAGACATAAAGGCACAAATTAGAATAACGGGGGCCTAAACCATGCCCTTTGCTCTACATAACGGCACACGACAGGAATGCCCACTATCCCCACTACTATTCGTACATTCCCTAGAACCGCTCCTACAAGCCATTCGCACCGACCAACTCATATGTGGCATCTGTGACTAGAGAACTGACAGAATATGGCACCCTATTGGGGAACAAGGTAAACCTAACAAAATCCAACGCATATTGAATATAGGGAATAGCCATGTCGGCTGCTGACACAGCGTACATACGTGACAAACATCACATATCCATAGCACCATGGTCCATAAAATATCGGGTAGTTCAGCTAACCGCAGACCCAACTCATTTATACTCTTCCAATTACGTACCCCTCCTCACGACCCTGATAGCTGAACTAGACTGGTGGGTGGATAAGAAAGTGTATTGGATAGGGAGGGTCCATGCGATAAAAATGCACATAATGCCCAGATTACTGTTCTATTTTCAGGCTCTGCCTATACCAATCACTAAAGCTGATTTAGCCCCCCTGAAAAAAATGATAGGAGACTTTATTTGGCAAAATAAAAGACACAGAGTATCCCAAAATGTACTGTACAGACCCAATACTGAAGGCGGCCTAGGCCTGCCAAACCTATATTACTACCACTTGGCAGCAGAGTTGGCACAGATCGCAATGTGGCACTCGACACCTGATGAACGCAGGTGGATAGATCTAGAATCTGGCATGATGGGTGCCGATCTCCCTCAATTTTATATCTGGCTGCTATGAGAGGACAGGGTGATCCTCCGCACTCAGTGCCCTGCGATCTTAAACTCCCTCCGAGTCTGGGACTCCACAGCCCTGAATTACAAACTGATGACATCTCCCTCACCCATGATGTCCATACTATGCACGGGCCTACAGAGGGCGATACATTTATACAAGGGAGACCAAATAGTGACTTTCGAGGCACTGAAAGAAAGGACCCCACTAAAACACGCAGATTTTTTCAGGAACCTACAAATCAGAGACTTTGCACAACACAACCTAGCCAAAATAGCAGCTCAAAACACTCACAACAGGCTTTGAACAGATGTGCCTCCGGGAGAACCCCCCGAGGGGACTCATCACCTCATTGTACGCTCACCTGAGCTCAAACAACACTGAATGGGGAGGAACTACATTACACAACACAGTGGGAATCTGACCTCGGAGAGGTCCTAGAGGGCACAGAATGGAGGGAAATATAGGATGCGAATAGGTCTACTTCAGTGTGCGTCACACAGCAAGAACAAGCATGCAAAACCATGCTCAGATGGTACACTACCCCGGTAAAGTTAGACCATATGCGCAAGACCCCAGATGACCTAAAAGACACACATATCATGGACCGTCTGACTGACCAATTTAGAGGTACAATTAAGTCATATGAAAAAGTATGGGAGATGTGGGCGGCTGGGGATTGGGGGGAGTAGGGGAAGCGGGAGCTGGGATGGGGAGCCATTCACCGCTACATCCAGTAAAAAGAAACCCACCCCTGACCTTCCGGCTTAGCGGGCCATGAGCCCAATGCTGACAAGAAACTCCTGCCGGGCCAACCGCTCTCAAACAGGCAAGAACCTAAATGTGGAAGGCTAACCAAGTCAAGCTTAAACAACCCCTTCACCCCGAACTACCACACTATCCAACCCTCCCCTTTTTCTTTATTTTTCCTCTTCTATCTCCTCTTCCTCTCTCTCTCTCTCTACATCTGGTAAGAGTGTCATTAAATTATAAAAGTACGAGCAACTACGCAGCTATATACATGGTTAATCTGTGAATATGCCTGAACTGACACTCTAGATTTGTTAATGCTGTAATATGTTTTTGTTTAATGGAATAATGGTGTTGTCAGGGCACTAGACATTCATGAACGACAACATGGATGCCTACAGGCACCAATCTCTTCACCATTGAGGGTCATATGAAGAACACTAATCTGTACTTGTATTCATGTCCAACAACTGCCTATAATGTATAATATTTTTTGTGGTTGTCAAATGTGAAGCAAACACACATCAAAAAGAAAGAATTAAAAAAAAAAGGAGACCATCATTGCTTGGGGCCTAAATGGACTTTTGACACTCTGGGAAGCTGACTCTTCGATTACGGGCATCGACTGGAAAATCCGGTTGCAGTTCAACAGATCCTGCACAGCTATATGTTTTTCTTTGTTTTCATTTGGGTTTTATTGTTTGCAATGTGATAGGCTAAGTTTAAACAGATTTAAATATCTTATCAGATTTTAGCCCTGCATGCCTAGCTACTGATAGGATCTGTCTTCACTAATTTGGTTGGTGTACCATACATGAGCATTAGCATCGAGCTCCCCTACACACCCAGTGGTAGTTACTCTTAGCATACAATCAACAATTCTGGCTTATAGCAAGTTAACCTCTCTCACTGCATAGTCGGTTAGAATTGTGCTTACTGTACCACATGATTTTTATATATATATGTTCTGTTTATTCTCCTCTCATCTAAACAAAAAAGTGTAAATGGTATGCATGTCACAACAACGTCTTACTATGTAAACTTTTATATGCTAGACTCTGCTATCGTGGCATTGTTGGACGGTATGTTATTTTGTTAAACACGACAAAAATAAACAAAAATAAACAAAAAAATTTTTTTACAAAAATGAAATAGTTGTGTGTGAGCATTCATTCTATAAGCTGGGTGATTATTGCACTATCATATTTGTGTGTTGGTTTGTGGGATGAGAGAAATTTAATGTAGGCCTCAATTCCGTCCTTATGTGGGATGTTACTGTCCATGGATTCCACATCCCTTTTTACTAGTATAGTGTTTTCAGGTAGTTCATTTTTCTGGTTAAGTTTATTGAGGAAGTCTGTAGTGTCCTGTATAAAGCTCTCAGTCTTAATATCTAGAAGCTTAAGAATGTTTTCTATTGGGTCAGATATTTGTTCAGTGAGAGCTCTCATACCTGTTATAATGGGCCGTCCTGGATTTCCTGGCTTGCGGATTTTGGGCAGCATGTAGAAGGCTCCCATCTGAGGATTGGAAGGCATCAGATTTTCTAATTCTTGCTGTATGTGTTTCTGAAATGATTTGATAAGTTTTGCGAGTTTAGCTGTATATTCTTTGGTGGGGTCTTTGTCCAGTTTTTTGTAGTAGTTTAGATATGACAACTATCTGTTCCCTTCTAGACATGTTAAAACTATCAGTATGGGGGGTCACTATGAACCCCATATTAATAAAAGGGAGGTTAAATCCTCCTGCATGACCGCGAGTAGGGCTATGTCATCTAAACAAATTTAAAACTACTAGTGACTGGGCAGATATTATTGCTCAGTCACTAGTGCAATAATGGGGAACTTGGCGCAGGATAAATCCTCCCACATGCCCCTACCTGTGCGAGGTCCCCCTGTGTAGTAGGGGTATGTTGCCTAAACAGTGAGCAGCCAGTGGACCTTAAATAATTAAATAATGAGGGGGCGACTTAATGTCCCCCCAGGTCCCCACCCATGACCGGCAGGTGGGGACCACAAATAATAAAGTGACTAGGAGTCCCCAAGCCCCTTGTCACTCCCCCCAATACAAATACCCTACCTACCCCTTTCACCCTAATAATAGTGAGTCACTATGGAGGGGCAATAAACTAACCCTGTAAAATAAAATTTCCTACTTACCATTAGATGTCTTTTATCTTCTTTTCTTTCATCAGCCCTAAAAAGGCCAAATAAAAATCAATAATACACATAGCAACTATTAAAATAAAAAAATACCTGAGCGCAAAAAAAAAAACACAAAAAAAAAATCCTCACGCAAAAAAAATAATCTTTCTTCACCCAGCGAGGGCACATCGCAGAATGAGCTCCGCAGGGCAGGGAAAGGCTTATAAAGCCTTCCCACACCTTGCAATTAGGCTCAGAGCGCTCGGATTGGTTGGTTTAAACAAACCAATCAGAGTGCTCTGACAGTTAAATGAAGAGACTGACAGGTAAGTCTCTACATTTACCTGTCACAGCACTCTGATTGGTTGCCTTGGAATCCAGCCAATCAGATTGCTCTGAGTCATTTTACACAGTGTGGGAAAGCTCTTCCATGTTGTGTAATTTGACTCATAACACTCTGATTGGTTGCTTTCTTTTTTGACTGGCTGCTCGATGACTGCTCGCTGTCATTTAAAATTGGATATAAATGTAGAGCTACAATAAGAGTATGTGTGAAAAGTAGCTATTTAGATCTAAATAGCTACTTTTTCATATTGCAACATTTATAGTTCTTGCTATAACTTTTGGTTGCATGTACTCTTACTGTAGCTCTCTGTCACGTCATTATAAAATACTGATTTTTGCACTTGGGACTGTGTCTTACCCGCCAGTGTTAATTTAGGTGTTAAATTTAAATTTAGTTTTAGTCATAGTCTTTTGACTAAAAAGCGATTTTAATTTTAGTCATCTGAATTGTTTTAGTTTCAGTCTAGTTTTAGTCGACAAAATCACAAATTTAGCAGACTAAAATTGTTAGTGGAAAAAATTAACACTGATACCCACCTAGAGCACACTCACAATATAATGTTGAGGCAGATCTGACAATATGGCTTTGACAATATTCAGGTAAAAAACACGTCTGTCCTCAGCTCCAATATGGATTCAGATCAAGACAAACAATGGGAATTAAAAAGTACAACATTCATTAAGTTAAATGTTCATCAATAGGCCTGATATGGGAGACCAATACACAAAAGTGCAAAACAACGGATGTGCAACGACATGATGTACCAATAATTTTTTTTCTGTTTCAGTGCACTTTGTAGAACTTGAGCAAGCTAACAAGCTATCCAGAAGATACAATTACATTTCTTCGATATAAATTTAATTCACTGATTTCAGGTCCCTGGTTAACAAAACCCTATTTAATTTAAATTCTGGCATTTTGGTAGTTCTTAATTGGATGTCATGAATTTACAAATATATAGCATTCTTTTTTTTTCCTTTTTTTTTACAAAAATGAACTACAAGTTGACTAACAAAGGTAATAACTAGACTTTCTGTCTGTGTTAACAACAGGAATCTCTAACACAGCTCTTATATACAAAGGCTTAAATATAATGCAAGTGTTAAACATGAAAAAGCAACCTGCATATTCTCTTTTTTTTTTTTTTAAGCATCAAACATCAAATAAACACAGCAATCATTGAGGAAATAGTTTTGTTCCAAAATATTGAAGCTAACTGATTGAATTACTTACTTGATCTGTATATATGATTATCTACAAAGAAGACTAATTCTATTTCATGTTAAAAGCACCAGTATATATCCTGCTCATTATTTTGTTCTTCCACTCCTTTTAAAAATGAAATTGTTGAATATTTCATAATTTTCTAACATCTGGGAAATTTTCCAAATTGGCTCCTCATTTGATATATTCATTGTAACATTTAATCAGAGACACCTATGGTTTTAATGATTTATATTTGGTATTTGGTCAGGCCTGGATCTACCTTTCATGAGCTAGGAGCATTGCTGTGGTCACCATGACAATGCTATGACAATGCTGAATCTTGCCAGAGTAAACTCCAGCGTGAGGAGTTACAGACTAGAGTTCACTCAAAATCACTGGACCATTAAGGCTTGCAATGTTCTACCTTCCTGGGAAAAGGTAAAAAGAAGTAAAAGAGGATATAAAGTTTGCTTCTTTATGTTTTTAAAATAAAATAACAACTAAACAAAAATCATATTTTCTCTAATTTCACCACACACACACATACATCCACACCCACACCCACATACACTCTAGGCCTTAAACTCCCAGCTATTTCCAACATTGCACCCATTACACACACACATTGTACCACTCATACACACATACTGCATGTCTCACACACACACCTTGTACCCTTACACGTTGTCCCCATACACATTCACAAACATTGCAACCCACATACATACACTGCATCCTTCACACACCCACATTGCACCTCTTGCACATACACTGCACCCCTCACACACAAACAGGAACACACACACACATTGCACTACTCACACACACTGCAGCCCTCACATACATACTGCATCCTACACACACACACACACACACACACACACTGCACACATTACACTCTGTATCTCCTATGAACACACTAGATTCACTGTATGCAAACATACTCTCTACAGCACCTACACACACTACATCACTATAAACACATACACATTATGCCCCCCATACACACACTCTCTACAGCCCCTAGCCACACATAGTATATAACACAACTGTATCCAACCTGTTTACACAAAACACCTCAATCATATCACTCTACATACAGAATCCCACAAACAGCCTCCAAGCACATGCGCAATACACTTTTTCTGGCCCTATGATCTCTGGTATCCCACTTATGGAGATATCAGAGACAAGTCACAAGCAAATTTGCCTGTGCTGCGCAGAACAAACAGAGGGTATTTTTCTCATGCATGAACTCCTAAGCAGGGCTCTGCACATACTCACTTTGAGGGGGGTGCTTTTCATTGGTGATGACAAAACTTCACACTGAGTTACCAACTTCTCTGCTGCCAACTTCACACTGGGTTACATCCCTGAGTGATCCTATCACAACTGGGGATGCTCCTGTATCAGCCCTTTGTATTTGCCCAGATAGATAGATAGTATTTGCTTTGGTGGATTTAAATATTTATCACAAAATCAGATTTTATATAATTGAGTGGAATACATTTTCTTGAAATATAAGTGAAATTTAACATGGTAATTTGCTTTAAACATATACCCTGTTTCACAAAGGATTGACATTTTTTTCATGTGATTTTAATTTAAACTAAATTAATACAATACACCTTTGTTATAGTCTAAATCTTGACAATAACAGTGATAATTTAATTTTCAAGTGCAATGGAAACATTTCTAATAGATGATTTTGCTTTAATGATTACTACTTGCAGAAAGTCATTTTAACCTTAGAAGAATTTATAATACAATTAAATGAGGATTTAATTCTTTACTTATCTCCCTTAGGTTTCTTTTTAAACTAATCTCTGCATTTATATTTTACGAAGTATGGTCTATTTCATGAATAATTGAATTCAATGTGATTTCACAAAGCAAACTGGGACCTATCAACTTATTCCCTCAAAAAGACTAAATTTTGGTCTTATTAAACTTTTTTTTAAATTCCATTTATTTTGCTTTACAAATTAAATGCTGATACATTTGGTGTTATATGTTTCAGTTTTTTAACTGCTGACATCAAAGAAATATAAAATACTAGTATTGTATTTTCGGTTTCTGCAGAATTGTGATTTGATCAAATTTGGGCCGGTCAGAAAAAAAAAAAGTAAAAAGAATCTCAAACTGCCACATGCCCTCATATTATTGAAATTGGTTAATTAATAAAAAATGATTGACTATTCAAACCTGACTCTGAATTATGGCCCATGCTTTAGAGACAGATAGATGCCATTAGGAAACAACATTGCCATAAATGGTGTGTATGTGGTCTGCAACAATTTCTAGGTAGGTGGTACTTGTTAAAGTAACATCCATGTGAATGTCAGGACCCAAGGTTTCCCAGCAGAACTTGCTATGTATTTGCTTCCTAATATATCCCAACCTTTGACAGGTGCCTTTATAATGATATAATCAATGTTATTCACTTTACCTGTCAGTGTCACCCTGAATGGCAGTTTCATTGTAAAAGTGACTTATGACTAAACTTATGGACATAAATAGCAAGAAAGTGAAGATAACTGAAAAAGCTATATGGTATGACAAGGGTAGAGTAAAAGAAAAGTAGCAACACAAACTGACTAGGACTAGAAGAAAAACTAGAAAAAAAGAGGCTAAGGACACCGTTCAGTCATAGAATATTTAAAAAAAAAATTGTACGGGTTAGTTTTTCCATTTTAAAAGCAGCTTGTCACAATTAAGACTAGGTGAGAACATGCTCAAATATATAATAGGTTTTATTCTTTCAATTTTGACAAGTAGGCAAAGACTCAGTACTACTTTTTTCAAGGAATTCTTTAGGTCAGTC